ATGCACACGAAGAAAGATAAATGCAGTAATGTAAAGGAACACAGAATTTACGGGTAAAATTCCAACTTGTTTATTGCTCCACAATAATACAAGAACACGAAGGAAGACAAAGCCGTCTCTCTATGTCTCATCAGTCCAAACCTTCAAATATATAGAGCCAAAATTTGTATGCAGTTAACACCCTTAATTGTCAAATGGATAAACCTACACAATATGACTAAAACTGCCAGAAAACTGCCTCCCACTACATTTCCCAGCAATTGTCCATACTTTCCACCTATATGGATCACAAATACTGCCCAACACATGTGTCAAACATGTGCTTGATTTGGACACTCGAATTTGTGGACTAGAGCGCACTGAACAGCAAGCTGGATTCATCCATATCTTGTCAATATCTGCCAATCCGCAACACTTTGACAACGGCCCACAAATGGAAACCTACATTTTCCTGCACCACCAACACACATGTCGGCAAAATTCTAGCATGAGGGCAAGTCATGCCCATGCCATTGCGCATATCAACTTTTAAGAGGCTAACACTTAGTATCTCCATACATATTGTTACAATGGCCAAGAAAGTGTATCCTGCTTGCAAATGACTAAGCATCTTCACATGGCCAGCCAAAATATTTGTCAAGCATGTAATACAACTTGTATATCGAAATAGGATATTAAAGATTACCACATTTTCGAATTAAAGACACAATACTCTTTTTAAAATTACTTTTGTTAATAATAAATCATGGGTTAAAAACTCGTGAAAGGAGAATGCTTTCTTTTGGTCATGTATAGCTGTATAAGAGAGACTTTAGCTTCCGAACACATGTCAACACCAGAAGACAAAAACAAACTGTGTAAAGGCTAAAGCATATGTGTGGTGTAGCTTTCAAAAGGTAGAACTTTAGTCGTCGAACTCTTTTTTTTTTTTTCACATACTCTAAATCTATTAGTCCATTTAGGGCCTGTTTGAGAGGCCTTCTTTTTTCCATGGAAAATGGAATTGAAATTCCATTTCCCACTTTTGCCATATTTGATGGCACTTTTTTCCCAAGAATTGGTTTTCTTGGTTTGTCATCATGTGATCCCTTTTCTTGGCTTTGATAACGAACACAAAAAAAAATTTCAATTTTTTTTTTTTTGGCAATTCGAACAAATTATATCCTCAATTGTAAGAAATTATATCCCTTTAATATACAATTTTCATGAAAAACAAAGT